ATCAAAAGATTTCACAGTCAAATCAAAAGTCGCCCCTTTGGATTCACTGAAAATGGTAATTTTGCTTATTTGGTTATTGATTTTTTTCTTTCGAGAATGAAATCTGATTGATTTGTTTATTGTTGTTGTGGATTGATAAATGAAGGGTGCGCCTAAGAAATGTAGGGGCTAAGATGTTCGAACAAGCAGTAGAGGCTTCTAAATGGATTGATTTTTTATGTGTGGGTGTTGATTGTTGGGGTTGTGAATTAGAATTTGCAGAGGTTTCTAAGCTTGATCGGTGATTTAGTGGTGAACTGGGTTCGAGAGGTGAAGAAGGAGATGGTGTTGCCGTCAGTTCACCGATCAACGGAGGTACAAGATGGCTGGTGATTTGGTGGTGAATCGACGACAGAATGAGGGTTGAAGAAGGAGATGGTGGCTAAGTTTCAAATTTTTGATTTGGGGCGGGGTGGGGTAAAGAAGGAGATTAATAGTGTGCTTAAAACATTACGACCCATAACTGAAAAAGGTCAGAAAAAGCTTATTGAATGCTCAAAACATTTTCATTGTTGGTGGCTGTTAATGGATTATTGAGCATTTTCATTGTTGATTTTCATTGTTGGTGGCTGTGGGAGGTGCGGCGGCGTTTTGGTGGTTGATGGATTCTGATGGCTGCACAGGCTGGGTGAGGTGGGGTGAAGAAGGAGATGAATAATATTATTTTCTTTTAATTATTACTTCAATTATTTTACGAGGATAAATAGGAAAGTTACCATTTTGCCATTTTAAAATTTGGTCAAATTTTACTATTCTGGTCAACTAACAGTCAAATTACTATTTCAGTGCATACTTTTGAAACGTTTGGGACCTCCGCTGGCACAAAACAAAGGTTAAGATAAAGTCTGTAAGAATATGAAAGGTTTGGGACCGTTGCTGCAATTTTTTCCAAAATTATATTTTGAATAGTGATTTTTAGGAAAATGTGTGGTTAAAACTTGAAATATTGAAAAAAAAAATTGGGTTTACTTACGGAATATTTTTTGTGTGAATATGATTGAAAATAAGTTGTAAAAAAAGAATTTTTAAATAATAGTCATCAAATAGGACCCGGACTTTCAAACAAAATTTATCATACTTCAATTCGTAAATTTATGGGAAAAGTAAAGTAACCTTATTTTCACTGTATATACTTGACTCTCATTCGATAGGATACAGAAGCGTTTATTTATCGGTCCAGTGAATCCGGACCGAACTACACTACGTGACACTGTGGCAGCCACAAAGAAAACTGAAAACCGTTTGAAATCCAGAATCAAAAAACAGAATGGGCGCTTCAACCAGTCAATCTTGGTTCTTCCCGCGGCGTGAAAAGGCACGGAAAAGATTCTTCAAATTCGCCTGTTTATTGAGATTCCATCTGCCCAATTATTCCCCCGGTAACAATTCTATTCCCACTGTTACACCCCATTTTCATTAGTCAAAGAAAATGGTTGAATTGTCAAGGTCAAAGTCAATATGGACTTAATTGGAA